AAGTATTTCTCTTGTAGCATTGAAAATAATTGCGGTCAATCCACAAGAGGTCAAATTAGATGCATATGTGTTGATCTCTGGTAAACTACTGGGAATGCTTCAACAGCTTCAAGGACTGGCAGCGTGCTGAGGAATGCTTAAGTAATAATGGGATTAATGGGATTAAAGATACTGAACACTGAAATAATCACAGCAGTGCAGTGCCTGTTTAATCATGAATTCAATGTCGTGCTAAAGCTAGAGGTGCATCCTTCATATCAAACACATTAATATAAAGGGATGTAACTCATGTTATTTTCACTTCCATGATTACAATGGTATAGTATGCTGCGTGTGCTTTGTTAAGGTGGCAATTTCCTACATCATCAGTTCTCTGCAATCTAATAATTTAATTGGGGTCAACTGTATCATTAATTCCGCACCCATCTTCCTATATACTCTGAACTAATGCACTGTGACTAATTGCAAGTGCCACTAAAACCAAGTCCACTGCAAAAGAGCCAATTTTGTTGTGTAGTAACCTGATTTGTGGATAATAAGTAACCTGTGGACTGATTATGGAAAGTGTGCCTATTTCAGCAAACACTATGCTTAAACATACATTATTCACCTGGTTTGCTAAAAAAATGTTTTTAGAAGTGGTAATGGAGAAAGTAATCAGTATGTGCAGTGTTTCTGCTGAAAACATTGCCTATACAGATTATTATTATTATTTTTTTATTATTTATAAAGCGCCATCAGATTCCATAGCGCTGTACAATGGGATAAATCTGTAATTTGTGCATGGGTGTAGTTAAACATCCATATTGCTGATGGATGTACTCTTCCCTTGTAAGCAATTTAAAAATGCAATTGTAAACTCCCCCCCCCCCATCCATCCCTAAAGCCAGCACTCATCCCGCTTTTGTCTTCTCCCCTGGTTCAATCCCCTTGTCCTCTGTGCAACCCACCTTCCCACTCTCCTTCTTTAGCAGCAAGATGAGCTACCACTCAGCTAATCTCAATTCTCATAAATACACACATTGTGCACATGCATGGTGTAGCGTTCACGGCTTTCAATGTATCTTTATAAGAAGAAAGGGACACAATGGATTCAATGCAGATTGGTACATTCATAGCATTCACCCAAGATTCAATTGGACTGTGGACAAGAAAAAGTTAATATAGTGTGTTGAGAAAGTGGGCATGGAAAAGAACATTGGGGAATTTGGGGGTTCAACATACTATTTAAATCAACTTCAGCCTGTATTTTCACATTTTTTTTTTTTATGTTTTGATTGACCATTGTACAATATAACATTATTATAATACTACGCACTAAAACAAACCGCCAATAAGATTCAGCTTTACTCCCATCTCCTCCATGTGTTACACATTCCACTCTTTTTCCACTACCCACACTCCCACTTTGACGCCCCTAGTCTTTCAGGTTGAAAGTCCCTTACACTCATGGCCTCATACAATATGAAAATAAAATGTAAAAATAAATTATCAAAAGGGGTCCATATGTGTCCATGCAGTGTCCGAAATTGGCAAATATCTGTTCTCCTCTATTTAGATGTAATTTAGCACTTTCCCGTTATTTCTCTCTCGCTCTCTCTCTCTGCACTGATATTGTCCTCTTGATTTGATTTGTTGCCTTACTTGCAAAACCCTTGCAAGGGGACATGTCTGCTTATATGTGGAGGGTAGTTAGAGAGACTTAGCTACTTGATACTCTCACTTTTTAAAGCCATCATGCCCTACTATCCATGTTTTATAAAAATTGGGGGTCCATCTGTCATAAAATGCATTATTCATGTAGGGTCATGTATTCATGATAGTACAATATATGGGTCAGTGGAAGATCTTCCATAGATCTTCTCTATGTAATGAGACATCAACTATCATGCATTACATAAGAAGATGTGTGTTCATGTCAGCCAACACTTTTTTGGTGCAGAAAACATGGTGCTGTGCACCGACTTCATGCAACTGCCATTCTTTGCCTTTCATCCTTTGTGAATATAGTAGAACTAGCATACACTGCTGTTTTAAAGGGCTCTCAAAACAATTTCTATTCTCATGGTTATCATACAGTAGTGTCAGATCCAACATTTCTTTTAGTATCATTCATTTTCATTTAATGTAATAAACTTTTAAAAATGAGAATTAGAGGGTGCAGTGCAGCGACTAGTTCACCAACACCATAACTTTAATTAATCAATATCCTCCATCACAATCCGCTCACAGTCAGGTATGGTCGTGCTTGCTCCTCTCCCCTGATGCTGAAAAAGCATTTGATAGGGTACATTATAGGTACATGTGGCTGGTGTTTCACTACTATGGTTTTGCCATTGAGAATTAAAAGTTTGATTATGGTTGTACAATAATGGAGTGCTGCACTGAAGTTTCATACTGTCAAATAAATCACCAAGAAAGAATGGATTGTCAGGGCTATCACAACTGTCAATTCACATGGAACTGTAGATGTCCCCATTATAAACATGCATACAAACTTGATGGTGAATTTAAGCCATCAGGTGGTTAAAGGGTATACTTAGGATTTTCTGGTGCACACTTTACTGGAAACTTTCCACGAGAATCTGTAATTACTTTGCCAAGTCAGTTATAACAACGCTAACAGGTCTTCACTTGTAAAAAAAAAAATGCACTCTCCTCCCCCCAAAAAAAACTAAATATTGATATTTTCTGTTTGTATTATATATGTGTCCTCTAAAAAAAAAAAAAAAATAGGACTGAGATGCAAATGCTTCCCATAATAATTTGATCCTAAAAGTGGACTCTTGAGCAAGGGGGTCGAACAAACCTGAGCAGAGATATTGAGGTTTTCTGTAAACATCTGTATAACTAAAATTTGTTTTGCGCCATGACACAACAAGAAAATGTTGGATTCATCTAAAATGGTGTGGATATAATTTAAGAGATTCCACAATACAACTTTTTCTTTCTTTAGCTGGATAATATATCTCAAACAAAAATCCAGTCGCTGGCAGCCATGCTTATATGTTTGTCATATTTTTCCATTGCAGTGATCAATGCCATTTCTGGAAGCATCTGAGTAATGCTCTATCTTGTCCTCCTCTTATTTTCCCTTTTTTCCTTCAGTTTTAAAATCTCTCCTTACACCTACTTCCCTCAACCTCCCAACAACCTCCACATTAACCCCTCTATGCTGCAACTTCTTTCATCTCATGCTTGCACTCTTTTCTCCATTCTCTCCATCCTTCTCCCATTCAATCTCATCCAAGAGTCCATCCATATAAAACCCGCTCATTTAGTGTTTCTTTCTCTGTCTCTTCCTCTTCTCCCCAATTCCTCTATGTTGGTGTTCCCCAATAGTATGTCCTTGATCCCTTATTGTTCTTAATCTGCACTGCTTCCCTTAGTAAACTCATCAGCTCCTATGGCTTCCAGTATCATTTGTATGCAGATGACACACAAATGTATCCTCCCCTGAAGTCTTACCACCCCTCTTGACTCGTGTCTCTGAATGCCTCTCTGCTATTTCCAACTGGATGGCTGCTCACTTCCTTAAACTGAACCTGTCCAAAACAGAACTTCTGGTCTTCCTTCCCTCAAGTGTTGCTACTCCCTTGTATGTGTCCCTCCAAGTCAATGGCGCTACAATCCGCTCTACCTCTAAAGCTCACTGCCTAGGTGTTCTTTTTGACTCCGACCTCTCCTTCACCACTCATGTCCAATCAAACATCAAATCCTGCCGCTTCCATCTCAAAATATTGCGTGCATCCTGATACAGCAAAGGTGCTTGTCCATGCCGCTGTCCTCTCTCCTTGACTACTGTAATCCACTTCTCAGTGGTCTTATGTGTTCCCAACTTGCCCCTTTACAGTCTATAATGAATTCGACGGCGAGGCTCATCTTCCTGTCCGCCCGTACCTCCCATGCCTCTCCCTTGTCAGTCCCTACATTGGCTTCCCATAAGATATAGGACTCAATTTAAGATCCTGATACTTGCTTACGAATCTCTACACAATTCTGCTCCAACCTACTTATCCTCACTAATACACAAATATGTCCAGTCTAGACCCCTACGCTCTACGGAGACCTACATCTAACCTCTGTTCGTACTCCTATCTCTGATGCTCACCTTAAAGACTTCTCTAGGGCAGCACCATTCCTATGGAACGCCCTTCCTCTCTATGTTAGACAATCGCCACTCCTTCAAAAAATCTTTCAAAACTTACTTCTTTAGGAAAGCATATCAACTCTGCTGATGCCTACCTGGTTGAGAACAATTGTTTAGCCAGAGCACCAGCCAAGTCATCGGTCTTCATAGGCCTGGGCACACCCTAATCCCAGTGGCCCACACTATGTGCCTCCCTCCATGGGCCAGTGAGGGAGATCAAAGGTGAGGGAGATCAAAGATCTCCCTCACCGACCCACAGACAGGAGGGAGAAGGAGAGGACCTGGGAGCTCTATCCAGCAGCTCCGCTGGGTTCCTCTTTCGAGGTTGGAGTGTTGCTGCGGCAACGCTCAGATCTCGCAAGAGTGAACTCTAGCCCTGCAGACTAGAGTACACTCACCACTGGACCACCAGGGATGGCAGTATATTAACTAAACGGGATATTAACTAAACAGTTTCCCCACCCCACACAATACACAAAAACAGCACCCACACACACACAGCAACAACACCCTCACAAAAAGAGCACCCTTACACACACAGCACCCTCACACATACACACACAAAGCACACACTAACAGCACCCTCGCACACAGCACCCTTACACATACACACACAGCACAAACTAACAGCACCCGCACACACACAGCACCCGCACACACAGCACCTTTACACATACACACACACACAGCACACACTAATAGCAGCCCCCACACACACAGCACCCTTACACATGCACACACTCTAACAGCACCCTCACACACACACACTAACAGCACCCTCACACACAGCAACCTTACACACACCGCACCATCACACACAGCACCCTTACACTCACACAGTGCCCCCACACACACACACACGCAGCAGTGTGTGTGTGTATGTATATATATATATATATATATATATATATATATATATATATATATATATATATATATATATACACACACGGCGTGTGTATTTGTGCTTCCGGGTGCACACCCGTATGAAATAGGCTGCACACGTCTATGTCTGTCTTATGCAGGTCTCCTCTACAACAATCAACAACAATAGGAAGAAATATGTTGCGTGGTGTGTGTGTGATAAAGGCCCCTTTCAGGCCAGGCTGTAGTAGCAATGCTGTTTGAGTTGGACTTGTCAGGTTTCTTATTTGAGAAGATTCTTTGTCATCTCTTTTTTCTGCCTACATTAGCTTAGACCTGTGCACAACAGGAAAATTCAGCTTGGAATAAATATTTTTCAAATATGCAAATAAATATTATTTTAAGAAAGTAGAAATGTTTGGGAGACACAGATAGTTTAATTGTTGGTAGTACTCACAAAGTTGTGTATGGACACATTTTTCTAAGATTTTTGACAATACCGGGAGCAATGATATTGGGCGATAGTTAGAAACCAAAGTAGTGTCACCACTTTTATGGATAGGCACTACTCTCGCAGTCTTCCAAAGTTTGGGTATGTATCCAGACACCAAGGATTCGTTAATTAGAGTTGAGACGGGTTTAGCAATTGCCGGCGCACTGAGCTTCAACGGCATTGCTGGGATTTGATCAGGTCCGGACTGGTTTTTCATTTTTAGATTATTAAGATGTTTTTTAATGACACTAACAGGTACAGGTCTAAAATTAAACTTATCTATATTGGGCCTTTGTAAATTTAGTGGGGCCTGATCCACATTTGTAGTTTCAGGATGCGTGTCATTTATTAGCTTGGCAATCAGGGCAGTAGAGCATCCGACAAAATAATTGTTAAAGGCATTTGCTACATCTAGGGGAAGTTGCAGGGTTTGGTTACCCACTTTGACAGTGGAGGGTTGGGAGTGGATTGGGGGAGTTTGTAGTTTATTTATGACTTTCCAAAAGTTTCTAGGGTTTGTATTTGTGTTACCAAAATGATATTTGTTCTCCTACACAAATGTTTTTGGAGCCTGTATGAAGTAATGCACGACAATACCCTCAAAATGTTTGCAAACTGTGAACAAAAACTGTTTTGTAATCTTTAATTATTTAAAAGTTTTAGTATCCTTAAAACAGCAAAATGTGCATGTTTATGTAATTTTATATGCTAACTATACATCTTATGTTTCAAATTAATGTTATACTAATTTTCAAAACTCAACCTATGATATTCAATTTAGAAAAAAAAATCTTTAAAGGAACACTGTAGTCACCTAAATTACTTTAGCTAAATAAAGCAGTTTTAGTGTATAGATCATTCCCCTGCAATTTCACTGCTCAATTCACTGTCATTTAGGAGTTAAATCACTTTGTTTCTGTTTATGCAGCCCTAGCCACACCTCCCCTGGCTATGATTGACAGAGCCTGCATGAAAAAAAAACTGGTTTCACTTTCAAACAGATGTAATTTACCTTAAATAATTGTATCTCAATCTCTAAATTGAACTTTAATCACATACAGGAGGCTCTTGCAGGGTCTAGCAAGCTATTAACATAGCAGGGGATAAGAAAATCTTAATTAAACAGAACTTGCAATAAAGAAAGCCTAAATAGGGCTCTCTTTACAGGAAGTGTTTATGGAAGGCTGTGCAAGTCACATGCAGGGAGGTGTGACTAGGGTTTATAAACAAAGGGATTTAACTCCTAAATGGCAGATGATTGAACAGTGAGGCTGCAGGGCCATGTTCTATACACCAAAACTGCTTCATTAAGTTGTTCAGGTGACTATAGTGTCCCTTTAACATGATAACTATCAAAGCTTTAATATTGTAGCCTGAATGTTTCAAGTTTTTGTCTCAGTTCTCCACAATATACATGTAACGGACCGTTTTGTACACAAGGGGTAAAAACCGTTTGGGCGATCGTCCCCCTTTCCAGAGATGCAGGCACAGCTACTGTAGAACACCAAACTCACGAACCGCCAATAAGGGAATGCTCCAAACTCCCGAACGGCATACAATATAGCACTCCAAACACACGAACTGGAACCATACGAATCGCTGCTAGCAGACGAATAGGAAAAGCATCCAAGCGGCGTACACTCCTAGCAATCAGTCTCCATCAGCATTCAGTAAATCCCCCCAAGGACGAGACAAGGCTCCGTGTTGAGGGTCAAGCAGTGGTCTGTTTAATGAGGGCTATCTGCCCAGTATTTATGCAGGTCTCCCACCTGGTGGACACTCCCCTAGAGGACCAAATGGGAGACTGTGACAAAAGACAGACAAGTAGACAAATAGGAAACACAGTCACATTATATTCCCACAATGCATCCTGGCTTCCTCCCCTCTGCCTTAGAGATAATTGAGAAGTAATTCAATTATCTCCCAAGACAAAGGCAAATCGCCATTATGCACGTGGGGATACTAAAACAGGAATTACTGTTAAAATACACTATGTAAGATACATTACAATAAACTTATACATTTAACATGTCCCCAGATAGCTCAGGTCTGAGAGCACATTATTAAGCAAATGGCGCTCAGACCACACGACTACAGTGTAATCGCCATGGAGCCAAAGTCTTTACACAGTCAGCTCTCATGCGAATGGGCTCCATGGGATTCCTATCTGGGGTATAACATACTCAAGTAAAACTACCGAACACCGGGCCGTTCGTGCACTTTCACCGAACAAGAAGGGGAGGTCGGTGGCTTCAGCGGTGTTCACGCAAAACTGTGTCCGATTTTAGTTCCATGAATTAAGCGTCGAACACTGCTGTACGTTCGCATGTTTAAAATGGCCGCGACCTCGTGCTCGTGATACGAATGGTGGCCACCCTGCATTCACCAATTAAGCTGCGGTTAACCGCAGCTTCAGGGAGGCTAATTGCCGGCACACTCCAGCTTCCAGGTGGTCTAGCCATTCGTGCGGTTGTTCGGTAGATTGAATCTACTGAACACCAGGCAGAAAAGCACGAATAAGTCTTTTCTGCAGGAAAAAAGATGTCTTTTAACATGGGGCCATAGCCCAAAGGCAGCAGGCGAGCATGCATTGCTCTCGTCACAATACAGTTAGAGTGTAGCGGCCCCTTTGGCATTGTGTAAAGAAAGGAGAGGAGAGCTTCTGACGGGAGCAGTATTTTATTTTTTGCATCAGGAGTGTGCATGAGTGCTCTGAACACCGTGGCACCATAAGCACCGTGAAAACTGTAATAGGACATACAAATACATTTGTTTACAGAGTTCATAAAAAAGTGGAGTTACAAACAGGATTACAAATGTGGAGTTCAGTTATCTGCACACATATCGAAATTACATTAACCATCTGAGGAGTACAAACTATATACAGTGATTTGGACTATAGTACTTAACCCCTTAAGGACAGAGCCAAATGTACACGTTGTGAACAAAACAAAATGTAAACAAAACCTGGCATTTGCGCTACATGTCTGTCCAACTGTAATTCACCTCTTTCATATTAAATACACCCACCCTTATTAATATCATTTTATTCAGGGGAAACAGGGCTTTCATTTAATATCAAATATTTAGCTATGAAACATAATTTAATATGAAAAAAATGGGAGAAAATACGTTTTTTTTTGGATTTTTTTAGTTCTACATTATATTTTAACGGTCAGTGTCATAATACTGTTTGCTTTTACTGCAATAAAATACACATATTTATATTCAGTAAAGTCTCACGTGTAAGACAGTACCCCCTATGTACAGGTTTTATGGCGTTTTGGGAAGTTACAGGGTCAAATATAGCACGTTACATTTGAAATTGAAATTCGCCAGATTGGTTACGTTGCCTTTGAGACTGTATAGTAGCCCGGGAATGAAATTTACACCCATAATGGCATACCATTTGCAATAGTAGACAACCCAAGGTATTGCAAATGGGGTATGTCCAGTCTTTTTTAGTAGCCATTTGGTCACAAACACTGGCCAAAGTTAGCGTTAGTATTTGTTTGTGTGTGAAAAATGCAAAAACGCCAATTTTGGCCAGTGTTTGTGACTAAGTGGCTACTAAAAAAGACTGGACATACCCTGTTTGCAATACCTTGGGTTGTCTACTACTGCAAATGGTATGCCATCATAGGGGTAATTTTCATTCTTGGGCTACCATAGGGTCTCAAAGGCAACGTAACCAATCTGGCGAATTTTAATGTGAAAAAAATGAAACACAAGCCTTATATTTGACGCTGTAACTTTTGAAAACACCATAAAACCTGTACATGAGGGGTACTGTTGTACTCGGGAGACTTCACTGAACACAAATATTTGTGTTTCAAAACAGTAAAAAGTATCATAGCAATAATATTGTCCGTGTAATGCTGTTTGTGCGTGAAAAATGCAAAAACGTCACTTTTACTGGCGATATCATCGTTGTAATACATTTTACTGTTTTGAAACACTAATATTTGTGTTCAGCGAAGTCTCCCGAGTAGAACAGTACCCCCCATGTACAGGTTTTATGGTGTCTCTGAAAGTTATAGGGTTAAATATAGTGCTAGCAAATTAAATTCCCTTTACTTTCGGCATGGGTTGTCATGCAGGTCCTGCTAATTGTAATTAATTAAGATACCTAATTATGTAAAAATATTACATAAATATATATGTAGAATTAATATATGTATATATATATGCATGTGTATATATATGTATATATCTATATAATTTTTTTTAAATATTTTTATTTATATATAGGTATATATATAGTGATATATACGTATATATTTATGTGTATAGATATATATATTATTTCGTTCTACGTGTATTTTGATATATATATATATATATATATATATATTAATTTAACAATACAGTTAGAACGAAATAACACACATCTATATATTTTTTAATTATTTATTTTTAATTATTTTTTTAATTTAATTTTTAACGTATTTACATTTTTATTTTTTTTATATTATATATAAATATATATATAACAATAATTATATATATATTTAATCAGTATCAGTCTACGTGTAATTTGATATTTATATATATATATAATTATATATATATTAATAGTAAAATACACCTAGACGGTGTACATGTGTG